TATCTATATATATCTCTATATATCTATATATATATACATATATATATATATATATATATACATATATAATATGAATTAATACTATTAAATAATATTATTACACACACTGTCAGTGTATAATGATAATAATAAAATATAAACAAATCTGTTCGACCAAGACAGGCTTTGTAAACAGTTTGATGTTGTACTTTAATTAATATTTATTTGTCCTAGAAACGCTGCAGCAGGTGGCATGGTGGCTCAGTGGTGTCACACTGTGACCTCACAGCAAGAAGGTCTCTGGTTTGAGTCCCGGCTGGGTCAGCTGGTGTTTCTGTGTGGAGTTTGCATGTTCTCCCCGTGTTGGTGTGGGTTTTCTTCCGGGTGCTCCGGTTTCCCCCACAGTCCAAACACATGCGCTATAGGGGAACTGATGAACTAAATTGGCCGTAGTGTATGAGTGTGTGTGTGTGTGAATTCAGTGTGTATGGGTGTTTCCGAGTACTGGGTTGCAGCTGTGCATATGTGTAAAGCATGTGCTGAAATGGTTGGCGGATCATTACGGTGCGGTGACCCCTGATAAATAAGGGACTAAGCCAAAGGAAAATGAATGAACTGATGAATGAACACTGCAGCTGAATAATTCACAAACTCCACGCAGAAGTGTTTATACTACAGCTCCCACAGTGCACCGCGGCGGGTCAGAGGGCGCGTCGCCATGGCAGCGGCTGGTTGTCACATCAGCGCCATTTTGGCTGTGTGTTGGGATGGAAGCAGCGAGAAAATCAAAACCCGACAGAAAAACAGCGAAATCCAGACGCAGATCGCAGAGTTTGAGCAAACACGAGCGCTGAAGCAGAGCGGAAACCGTCGAGGAAACAGCCGGAATTGCGCGGAAGAGGCTCGTGACCAGCGCAATCTGCAATAACAGGTCTGGTGTTCTTCCACGATACACCTCACACACTTCAGCCATTCCAGAAGATGATCTTCTTTAATGTCTGACAGCCAGATTAATGCGTGAATCCTGCAGTGTGCTGCCGGAAACTCCCACCTGGAGACGATAATAATGGCGATGAACGGCTGATGTGCAGAGAGAGGCTCTTAAACACTGCACAATCCGCATTAATGCCTCATTTCTGAGTCTCTGATGCTCATAATGTTGAGTACAGAGCGACCGAGCACTGCTGAAGAGCCACAGGTGGTTCACATGACTCCGATGATTAATCGATCATGTTGATCATGAAGAGCTGTCAGCTGTGTGTGTGTGTGTGTGTGTGTGTGTGTGTGTGTGTGTGTGTGTGTGTGTGTGTGTGTGACAGCAGCTGAGCGCTATTTTAACACCGCAACAGCTTCAGTTCACCTCAGCACTGGCAAAAGGCACACACTCGCGTTTGTTTTTGTGAATTGTGGGGACATTCCATAGGTTTTTCTACTGCACAAGCTGTGTTTTGTATACCCAACCCTCACAGGAGACTGTGGGGAGTTCTACTATCGGAATAAACTCATTGATTTGTGATCTATAAGCTTTTGGAGAAATGAACACATCAGCAAAGTCCTCATCATTCAGCCCTTCTGTAATACATGTGTCACACATGTGTTATACTGATTTGTGTGCTGACATGTCACAAACACACACCATACTTTACATGCGTATTATCCACACACACTCCTCTAAACATGTGATGTGTTATGTTAAAGGGGTGCTCCGCTGTCTTCAACTGTAGTTGGTGTGTAATCAGGGGCGCAACTGCACATTTACACAGCCATGTCATCCTGCAACCCAAGAGCGGTTACTCACTGAAGCTGAGCAGGGCTGAGCCTGGTCAGTGTCTGGATGGGAGAGCACATGGGAACACTCGGCTGCTGTTGGCAGTGGTGTTAGTGAGGCCAGCAGGGGGCGCTCAACCTGTGGTCTGTGTGGGTCCTAATGCCCCAGTGTAGTGAAGGGGACTCTATACTGTCAGTGAGCGCCGTCTTTCAGATGAGCTGTTAAACTGAGTTCCTGTCTCTCTGTGCTCATTAATAATCCCATTGCACTTCTCGTGAAAGAGCAGGGGTGTAACCCTGGTGTTCTGGCCAAAGTCCCTCTATCAGATCTACCATACGATCATGACCTCCCAATCATCCCCATCCACCGAATTGGCTCTATCACTGTCTCTCCTCTCCCCCAATAGCTGGTGTGTGGTGAAGCTCTGGTGCTGTTGTCCTGTGGCTGCCGTCGCATCATCCAAGTGGAGCTGCACACTGGTGGTGGTGTGGAGAGACCCCCCTCATGATTAGGGTTGTCACAATATACCGGTATGACGGTCTACCACGATTTGAACGTGCACGATTATCATACCATGAACAATTGCATATCAACGGTTTTAACCCGAGACAGCCGCCCGCGGCTAAAAATAAGTATTGCTCTTAAATGTTTAATAACTTTTGATCCGCTGATCCGATTCATACAATTCAAAGATTGGCATAAAGAAGAGAATCTCAGCTTTCCAGTGCTGTATCACATAACATTCGGACTTTCAGAGGCTCCGGAATCAGTGCGGTTACGTCATCAACATTTGACAACGCTGATTTGACAAAGAAACGCTCGTCACTGTGTCTCCGGACAAACCAGACATGATACATTGATGCATTGTCCCTCCTCCATGCCCAGATTGGTTCAAACTCGCTATATCACAACCAATAAGCATAGGTTTCGCTTTTGTTTGTGGACCAACATGAGCTTTTTGAACAACACAGAATGAGAGATAGGCAAACATTTATGCGCGGCTAAATAAAACGCAAAAAAAAAGTTTTGCATGAAATAATTCTCATACTAAGTACTTTTGCATGCACAGCAGCACAGAAACATGACAAAACAGTGACACAGCAAAGACGAACTGCTGCTCTTGCTGTTTTCAAAAGACGCAAATGAAGGTGCAGCTGTTTGTCTGCATTGCAGACAACCATATCCAAATCCATATCCACAGACAACCATATCCATGCTGGCACATAAAACCTAAGGATGTTCCATATTGAATCTAGTTTCGTTATGTAACTATTTATAGTATAGTAAATATTTATATCTATTTTTTACTGAGGATTTGCACCATGTTTATTTGGACTTTGACACATTATTTATTATTTTCTTATTTTTTTATTTGTTCATTGTACAAGTGGACACATTCTCTCACCTCAGCGGTCAAGATTAAGTCCTGAAAATCTCAACATGCTTACATTTCTTCATCACAACCTAGACTGAAAAAAACAACGCTTTAAATACATGTTTACAGCCATAAACTTGGTATTGCACTTTTGGTCTCCCATTTATCCTGCTTATCAGGAAGGACAGTTTAAGTTTATTTTTGTCTAATCTTAAAAGACCCTGCTTGTTTATTCCTTCTAATTTAATTTATTAAAATGGGAGATTTTTCAGTTTATTTTTATAAAAGACTTCTATAGTTCTATTAAAATGGTTCTTTCAAAAGTTTGTTGAAATAAAACCTTTGTTCAGTCAGAAAACGTGTTCTTATTCTTTTCAGGGTCTTTGCTATGAGAATTACTATTTAATACCGTATACCGCGAAACCGTCAAACCGTGGTATTGTTTTAGACGATTATCATACCGTAAAAAATTCATACCGTTACAACCCTACTCATGATTGTGAAGTGCTCTGGGTGTATGGCCACACACAATAAATGCGCTATATAAATACACATTACATTACATTTACTGAGGGGTCTTTTTTCCTAATGTCAAAAGGAACAAGATGATTTCTCTTCCCCCAGTGTCAGATTATTTGGCTTGTTTTAGTGAAAAACTCTCTTCATTTTAACTCCTTATTTCTGAAAATTAGACAGCATTTGTTGCTTGTCTAGAAAATGCTACTTGATTAAAAAATGTGTAAATATTTGGACTAAAAACCCTAAGCAAGAAAATATAATAACATGCACAGTATTGATAACATTGGGCTCTTCAGAAATACTGCAAATACTGTTCAGTCAGAACCGTACATTTATTCATTATTTACTCTCCCACAAATGTTTCTTCCAAATCTTTGAGTTTCTTTCTTCTGTTGAACACAGAAGAAGATATTTTGAAGAATGTTGGAAACCTGTAACTATTGACTCCAGTAGTACATTTTCAGCATTCTTTAGCATATCTTTTTTTTCTGTTCATCAGAAGAAACTTATAAAGGTTTGACACAGGTAAAGGGAGAGTAAATGATGATGAGTTCTCATTGAATATTGTATACTTATGTATAGCCCTTTTAACTGGTATTTGATAAGACTGTATTTAGTAGTAGGGCTGCACAATATA